CGTATAAATAGAAAAAAAAATAAGAAAATGAGTTTAAATGAGATTAGTTTTCGAGATCGTTAGTACCTCTTGAATAAGAATCAAGTTGCCTTAGGTTACTTAAAGTAATTTAAGGACTGATAACTGGGTTTATCCCTCAATGAAATTAATGGGCCTCACGATGCCACTGAATTTTGTTCGGTATTGCCTTTAAGAAGGCAGTCTCATCTAGGCTGGACTGGACTGTAGTTTCAACCTCGAATCGGTCTCAAAAACTAATCACATCGAAAATAGTCACGTCATCTCTTACAATTGCAAACAGATATTTGTTTAATCGACAATCGCACACTTTCAGATATCAGATTCTATACTTATCTTTTGTATTCAGGATGAAAACATGAAATGATAAAATTACACCCAGAAGTATGCAGATGCAGCCTCATCAGGTTCAGATAATATGAAGTTTAATCAGGCTATGGTCCAATTTTTTTCGCATAGACATAGCTTGCCCTTTTTCCAATCCATATGTTTCTTTACATGACAGTTCAGATAATATAGTATATAATGCTATCTTTTTCGCTGATTTGTGACATAAGACTTCTGGAAAAAAATAAATAAAGGTTTCATCCCTCTGTCTTACCTGTACAGTTCTTCAAGCAAACTTGTCCACACTCCGGTCATTCTCATACCCCGTTGCCAGGCTGACAGACAGGCGGGCCGAAGACCAGAGCGAAGCTCGCTAGGCCAAATGGTAGGTGCCGCAATTAGGAGAGCCGTAAATGCACTGCTACGCTTTGGCAGTGCCTGCCGCAGATTCCACAGAACCTCCACTGCGCCAGGAGGCAGGATGGGCAATTGAAAGACAAGAGCAGAGGCCGCTTGGGCACCCGCCTGCATAACTGAATTCAGGTGTATCAATAGATGAACAACTAATCAAGAATCTTGGCAGGATATAATTGCTGAAAATTTTGGAGAGCAGGAGCAGCACCCAAAAATGTTAAGATACAAATCTTATGAAGGCACTGAAGATATAAAGACCAAGATGCTGTGGCCTCTGGTATGGTCGCAGTCTTATTTCGATTAATAGAAGTTGGCTGACTTCGTTGTCGCAACTTGGTCTTGTTGTCACGGCGACTTAGTAGAACGCACTAAGTCCGAAGTCGTCTGCCATATTAGTTGCCATAATTCCTAGCATCAGACAGTGGATTTGGTACATTCTCAAACGTTTTGCCGGCAACACTAGGTGCGTTCTACTAAGTCGCCCATATCAGAGACCACAACATCTTGGTCTTCATATCTTCAATTAAACTACAGTAGTAAAATTGCCAAACAATACACTGAATACAGCGGGGCAAACAAGACATTTGTAAGTCAATCTTCCCATCTAACTTTTTTAAACTGTTGTAAACGTTATGGTATCATCATAAGTTCTGTGACCTTAAGGTACCCTATACTAGGATAAGGTTAATGAGTATCTCCACCAGGCTTCTATTAAGAAACTAAGTGGGACCAATGATACAGGATGGAATAAGTTGTTTAAATTTATAGGTATTAAGTCAAAGCTCCGGGGTGTTCTGGCAAGAATCCTGTTTCCGGAAGATTTTAAAAAACGATAGTGCATCACCGACACGAAATCACGTAGGATTTCTGACTTAATAACAAAATAGCATGACGATAAGTTGTGTAAGTTTGGTATTATAAGACAACCTAAGTTAAAGTCAGTACGCTCAATTGAAGTGACTTCCGAGGTGACAACATCTACTGATCAGCACGAGGATCGGAAGAAAGTATTTAACTTATCATCAATTCTTTCAAACCCAAAACAACTGCGTTCATGGAAAAAAGACTCAATTTTTCAATTCAATAAAATAGAAGCCTTCTAGAAAACATCCTGATT